GACACGGAAGGGATGGGAAAAGGAAAAAAGATACAAAGACGGACTGGAGAAAGGGAAAAAAAGAGAGACACAAAGAGGCTGGGGGGAGAGACACACATAGTGGCTGGGGAAAAGAGAATGAAACACACACAAAAGGTGTGAAGTAAGAGACAATGAGCTGGGAGTAAGTGAGAGAGGAAAATGTTGGTAAGAAAAATGGGGTGTGTAACGGATCGCCTGGCACCCCGACTGGGTACCTCCGTTGAAGGATGCTCCTAGCGCTTCCTGAGGACTCCAAGCACTCTGGCAGACACCACAATCACCGAACCGGAGAAACAAATAAATTCTCCCAAGCATATGAATGCTGTAGACAGTTGAATAGGAACCATGCGAATAGGTTTACTCTCCTAGCAGTCAAACTGGAACAGCATACAATAAATCCTTCCCCCAATAATGAGACGACACTTCACTTTGAGGGTTAAACCAGGAACTCCCTGTACTGTCACATACAGTCTCTTTTATTTCCAATCCACAAACATAGTACAGCCCACAGGGCATTACAAAACAGCCAATCAATCCATACAATACACCCAGACACTCCCACACAAAATCCTCCCCTCTGTGATATGATTACTGAACACAATGGGTAATCTAATTATCACAGCCAGAGAAATACAGTTTTATAAAACACATCACAGGGACCCCAAAACATGCAATAACCCCATAAAAACTCCTTGGAACTGGGGGTTCTGGGTGAACCACATATCCAAAATTCACCCAGATCCGTTCAGTACTTTGGAAAATACAGTTTAATGCAGATTCTGCAGAACATATACAGGCTAAATAAAAAACAATCACTGTATAATGTGTCCCCTGCTGTATAGTCCAAAACCACCGCACGATGTCTCTGTGCAACAAATACTTGACTGGTGTATAGTCGCCATATGGGCAGTCGGAACCTTGGACAACCACCACCCCACATACCTATCCCCAATAACACGCTGACACTAGGTATATGGGAAAAATTGTCCACAGCTTTATTAACAAACAGAAACGATACTAATAATTTAACATATATATAAAACATGGGTCATTGCCCCCCATCCTCCGCCCTCGCATCTATACCTTCATTAAATATCAGGGCAATGACCCAACATAACCAACACATAAATATATATAAATAACGCTTTAACCTTACTCCAACATGAACCGATTTGAATGCAACCATAAGTAACCACGGTAGGGGTATACCCAGATACCCCTACCCCACAAGGTTCTGAGCCACCTCCAGGACTCGAAACCCACCATCCACCAGTGACCACAATTCTTCATGTTCCTTACGTTCCTCATGGAGAGCCTATTTTGCCTTCCCTAGCTCTCTATCCCGCCACAAGCTCGGACCTTGACCCCTCAAGCCGACCGAGCTCCGCCACCCCGAAGAAAGAGAGCCCTCTGCATCCCCTCCTGCAAACCCAAGTTCAGCAAATCCAGACCCACCGCTGAAAGATGGACACCGTCTGTGTGGTAATAACCCGGCAGCCTGCCTTCCAATTCTACGTGCCTCACTACCACGCCCCCCAATTTCCTCACGAAGCTTGCCATCAAGCTGTTAACTTTTCCCCTGCATCTGTCAATGGCCAATGGGTCCCTCGCGTGCCGCCACCGACGCCTCGGAACAATCTCAGACCACACCAGCATCACCCCAGGAAGCAGATCGAAAACCTGTTCAGGTCCTGCTTCATCCATTTTACCAACCGACGTTGCGGGATGAGGCCCAGGTCATTGCCCCCCGCGTGCAGAACTAGCATATCTGGCCTCGCCCCGCCTGCTACCATCCGAATTATCGCCCCGCACACGTTGCCCCAGCCAAATCCCTTAAAGCCCAACCATCGCACTGTTAGGAGGTCTTTCGGGAAGCCCAGCTGTTGGCCCTGGGCTCGAGCTGCAGCTCTCCGTCCGGCCCAAACGATGAAGGAATGGCCCACAATCCATGCGACACAACCTGGGGAGGAAGGGAAACAACGTAAAAACACCCACACCCATACCGGGGCCCTCCCCCTGACCGATACAGCCCACATCACTGATCCAACAAACCCATGCGCACATACGTGCGGAACCGAGCGGATTCCCATCTCCCAATCCTTTTGACTAACTCGTCCCCCATGCCCAGGCGCGCGGCCTCAGTGGCCGCCCCTATGCGAAAGGAATGCGTCCCGTAGGCAGCAGCACTCAACCCCAACGCCCCCAGACCCGATCGGAACACCTTAGTAAATTGGAAACGAGAGCGCGAGGAGCCATCGGCATGAACCAATAAAGACCCCCCGACTGCCGGTCTCAGTTCCAAGAACCGAGCCACAGCCGCAACTGGGCACAGCAATGACCCGGGCAGGTGACCCAGCGTCACATCCCGGCCCTTACCCATGACGTCCGTTTTGGATGCAGCCAGGTATACCACCAGGTTCCCTGCGATCATGCGAACACCGGATACCTGCAGACCCCCCGACCCCGACCGCGTGGCGCTCACCAATTCCCCTATCCGGAATGCCCCAAAGAAGGCCAAGAGAAAGGCTGTCCTGAACAGGGCTACCTCAAACCCGTCAAAGCAGATTCCGGGAAGCACTTGGAGTAAATTCCCAAGCACCCGAACCGAGACCGGGCGCCTAGCATCCGGTACCTTCCGGCCCCTCCGATACCCCTTGAGAGCCTGCCTAATGACAAACGCTTACGTGAGGTCCTCCCACCCATGGAATTTGAACCAAAAGGCCATCGCCGCCATGGTCCTATCAACCATTGCTGGGGACACACCTTTTGCCAGCAAATGAAAAATGAACCACAGGAAGGCGTCCTGCGACGATTCCACCTGTGGCCCCTGGCCCAGCCCCTCCCAGGAACGTTCCCAGGCACCCCAAACCTTACTGTATGCGGTCCAGGTGGCAGGAGCCAGCGAAGCCCTCACAAGTCCCCCAAGCATGATGCTCCGAGCTGCCACATCTCGTCCGGGCACGCCTGCCCGGTCTCCTGAGCCTCCGGAGCCCCGCCCGAAACCGGGACCACTGAAAACGAGACAGAGCATCAGCCACCTCGTTCAAATACCCGGGCACGTGATGCGCGCAAAAAACTACATTAAGGGACATGCACAGCAAAACAAAACGTTGCAATAGTGTCACCACCGGTTTGGATGCTGCCGACTGGTTATTGACGGCGTGCACCACCAACATATTGTCCGAGAAGAAGACTACTTTGCGGTCGCGGAGACAATCCCCCCACAGGGCCAATGCCACCACCAACGGGAACAGCTCCAGAAAAGCCAAGTTCCGTATGAGGGGGCTTCGCCCCCACGCTTCCGGCCACTTCTGAGCACACCATCTCCCCCCGAAGTAGGCCCCGAAACCCACGCTACCCGATGCGTCGGTGAACAGCTCCAATTCGGCCGTAGACACACCCACCTGACGGAAGAACACCGTCCCGTTAAAGTCTTGCAAAAAGACCTTCCAGACGTCCAGGTCAGCCCTCATTGAGGAAGAGACCCGAACAAAATGGTGTGGAGAACCGACCCCCGCGGTGGCTGCCGACAGGCTGCGGCTGAACACCCTACCCATAGGTATCACCCTGCAGGCAAAGTTGAGCATCCCGATCAACGATTGTAGCTGCCGCAGGTTCACCTTACGCGCCCGCTGCACCGCGGTCACCGCACTGCGCAGTCCGCACAACTTAGCCAGAGGCAGCCGACATTCCCCACGCACCGAATCTATCTCTAAACCCAGAAAGCTGAGACACTCGGTCGGGCCCTCAGTCTTGTCCGCCGCCAACGGCACCCCGAAGTGGCCCGCCACCCACTCAACTGTCCGCAACAGGTGCCGGCAGGCGGGAGAACCCGCCGGCCCCACGCAGAGAAAGTCATCTAAATAATACACCACTGCTTCGTTCCCCGACTCCATCCGCACCACCCATTCGAGAAAGGTACTGAACTTCTCAAAATAGGAGCACGAAATGGAGCAGCCCATCGGGAGACATAAGTCGACGAAGTAACCCCCCTCGAAGAAGCACCCCAGTAGGTGGTGACAAGCCGGATGAACCGGAAGCAAGCGAAAAGCAGCTTCGATATCCACCTTGGCCAGTAAAGCCCCACGCCCGGCCCTCTTAACCAGCTCGACCGCTTGGTCGAATGATGCATAAGAGACCGAGCACAAGTCCCCATCGATATCGTCATTCACCGACGCTCCCCTAGGATAGGACAGGTGATGAATGAGCCGAAACTTCCCGATCTCCTTCTTGGGAACCACCCCTAATGGTGACACCCTCAAGCGGCGGCGCTGAGAATGGACCTGCCATCCTGCCCAACCGCACCTCCTTACTAAGCTTCTCCCGGACCACATCCGGAAATTCCCTTACCGATTTCAGATTACGCGTACACAACGAACCCACCCTCGCTCGGAAGGGGATGAAAAACCCCTGTCCAAACCCCGACCTAAGCAGTTCCGCGTCCCCCTTATTACCGTAGCGGCTTCGCCAGGGTTCCATCGCGTCGAGCCTCACCGGGGTTAGGCCCCGGGGCAGCAGCTGTCCCACTGCCCCCGGGCGCTCCGGCTCCGCCCGACTTACCTTTCTTATAGCATCTCTGGAGCCCGTGAGTCCCACCGCAGCCCGCGCATTGATGCTTGAAGTGGCAGGCCGCCCCCCACTTGCACTGACCTTCGTTGAACGACCAGCATAAGCCCTTCTGCAAGGCGGCCGACGAGGCGGACTGTCCCTTTGCGCCAGCCGCGTGCTGAAAGGGATGTGCCTTCTGCGCCATCATCAGCTTCATCCACAGGGGCAGGTCCATTTGGTCCCACCTGATCCCAGGATTGGCCGCCAACCGTTGCCGGAACTGCTCGTCGTACCGCCACCAGGCCAGCCCGCCGTAGGTGCGATACGCTTCCCAGATCCCATCTAAGTAACAGAACAGGGAAGAGCAAGAACTCGGCGGTTTCTCCCCTATCACACTGGCTAGGACGCAGAAGGCCCTCAGCCAGTTCCCGAAGGACTTCGGTATCTTTCGATACCGCTTCCGCTTTTCCTCCTCCTACTTCTTTTCGTCCTTCTTATCCTCCTCCTTGAGGTCAATGAAGTCCTCCAGAGGAAGAAGGGAGAATATCTCACAGAACTCCCCCTTCCAAATTTTTTCTTTCGCCTCCTGCTTGAGGTGCACCCCCAGCGGGCCCGCGAATGACACGTAAGCATGCTGCCTGGCCGCGTCCGACACTCCTCCCGACAATTCCGCCCGTTCGCACCCCACCTCTCCCGGGCTGGACTCCACACCCACCTCCCCGCTGGGCGCGGTTACCACGGGAGCCCCGCTACCATGCCCCGCCTCGCCGGACCCTCGCATCCAAACCTGACCTACATCGCCCGAAGTGCCACCCCCCGCCCCCAATGAGTGGAGCAGTGACTGAAGTGTTTGAACTAGTGTATTGGACCCAAGGGGGCCTCTGGACTCACCGGCCAAGCCCCTCGATCCGTCCGTGCCCGGGGCTGCATTGTCAACCGCTGCGTGACCTGGATGCGCAACATCCGCCGACGTCCCGCCAACCAGGGAGCCCACCTGGTGCCTCGAGAACGTGGAAGATGAACGGCTCGGAGACCTGAAATGAGGAGAAGACATCCTGGGCAGGGGGTAGTGCTCTCCGGCTCCCCTCCCGTCCCGACCCAGGGAGCGCCTGCCTGCTACCAAGGCCTCCCGCCATGCACCACTCTCCTGCTGTCCCCCGTGAGCCCGCTTCCCCCCGCCCCGGGGACTCCGACTCCTACCCTCAACCCTCGCCGCCCTCTCCTGTCGCCCCCGCCCCAATGTCCCTGACCTAGCCTCTACCGAACTTCCCGAGGGGGAGCGCCTGCGCCGGGCCCCCCTTTTTTCCCGCGCCCTGAGGGACCTCGCGTCCCTCACAGGTGAAGAACCAACGCTGCTAGAGTCCGACCCGGAGCTGCCACCAGGCCCCCCACCCTCCGACCCACTAGACCCAGCCTCTGAGCCCGCATAGCCCCCCCCCGCCCCTGCGCCTCCCCTTACCAACTGCAACCCCTACCTCCCTCACCCGACCAGCTGACCTCCCAGACACCCCCAGGCACCCCCCCGATGCCCCCAGCAGCCCTACCCCAGAGCCCCCCCCGCTCCCCCCCTCTCCGAG